AGCTCTAAATGCAAATAAGGACGAGTGTTTGAAAATGTGCAATTAAATTTTGGACTCGAGATGCCTCGCTACAAAGCAAGTCTCGTCATTAAGAGTCTGGTAAATTTTCACTTGAAAAACCAATTTCGTCAGAAAATTTCTTGATAGTCAAGTTATAAAATTAGACCAAATTAACTTCAAGCTGGAAACTATTTTGGAATTATAAGGAATAGATTTTTTTGCCCTATATTTTTCTGTGTCACATTATGCAAAAACTCTGCCATTTTGAATCTACTGAAATCTGAAAATTTTTTGAAGGCTCTAGGGTTTCCGAAATGTTGCATGAATGAAATGAAAAAATTCAATTTCTAGACTTTTACCGAAGAAAAAGTGTTAATAATATCATTAAGGTCAGCTTTTCTGCTTCTGCATACACAAAAGAGCTAAATCAGTGTCCCTTACGTCTCATCGAAGGTTTGAGGTATGAAAGTATCAACTTTAGTTTTCTGAAAGGTCTCTCGCAGTTTATAATAGACGTTGCTATCGTCAAAAGTGTCTGTAGAGCTGTTCTGAAAGACACTTTCATCTCTGTATGACCCTCCAATTCCGGTAACCTTTTCTCATTTCATCCGTTAAAGGAACGGCGATCCTTACGATCCCGAGACAAGAAAAAAGTGAAAGCCATTTATTTGGAGAGAAGGGGTTGAGCTCTCAACCGGATGTTGTTGTTTTCGTTATTGCGTTTTGTGGCGCAAGAGCCAATATTGGCCATGCTGCGCCAAACATATGGTACAAATTGAAACATGTTGAAATGAGAAACTTATAAAATAGGATCATTTTTCCTTTGTTCTCATATTAGACTAAAGACTTTAACTAGTAAACAGACAATTTAAAACAAATTCACAAAACCAATAGGTCAAGAAATTCTAAAATGCACATGTTATTACTATATAAAATTAAAAATTCCAATGGCATTTAAAAATATAAAAATATGTGTATGGGGATGTTCTCCAACCGATTCTCTAATGTTTACGATACGGAGATAAAAAAACCTTAAGCGATGGTTGTTGAAAACGGGGCATTCCACTAAAATGTGACGAATTATAAGATCCGCCTGGCATGCTGTACAGGCAGGGCACTGTTCACCAAATAAAAGATGTTTATGGGTTAAACGGCTATGACCAATGAGAAGTCGATTCAATTTAACATCAAACTTTCGCATTGGGATAATTGACTGCATACCTATCAATGGATGGATAGTGCGAAGCTTGTTGTGGGTCTGCTGATCCCACATTTCCTGCCATAATGAGTGAATATGATGTGAAAACCATTTCAGAGTAGGGAAGCGGTCGTTCAAAATATATTATGGCCGACTTTGCCGCAGCAACAGCAGATTCATTTCCATTAATGCTAACGTGGCTAGGGATCCAACAAAATAAAATTTCGGGCCCCCTAGTTTGCAGAGTTCGCGAAAGGCAAAGAATATCCAAAACTAAAGGATGTTCTCTGTCATGGGGATGATTTAAAGCCTTAAGTGCACTCATACTGTCAGAATATATGCAAAATTTATGGTTGTGAAAACTACAAATTTTCCCCAGAGCAAATAAAATCGCCATTAGTTCTGCCGTGAAAACAGAACGCATATTATACAGTTCACTACTGAAAATTTTCTGAGCCACAACGATATCACAGTCCACATGGGAAGATGTTTTTGAACCATCAGTGAAAGCGGCTGGAACATATGCGAAAACTGAAGGCGATGGTAACAAAAAGCTGTTGAATGACAGCTGGTGCAGTGGCGGATTTAGGAAATTGGGAAAATGGATTTTCCACGGTGTGAAGGGTAGAAAATCTATTGGATAGATTTGTACATTTGAAAAGTCTGAATCTGCAAGCGATCGTTTGATCCTCTCGCAAAAGGGGAGGACGTTAGAGAGACGTGCATTATATAACATCCCAAGGCCAATAGGGAGAGTCATACGACGTAAAGGATGGGTATGATGACACTGGAGATGAAAACATTCTAGCCACACAACATCTTCCCACGAAAATGTAGAGGCAGTTGGTGGCAAAATATGTACAAGCTGTGCGCCGGCGAAGTTCGAAAGGCCCCAGAACAGATCCTTTGGGCAGAATGATGCACTGTATCCAAATTACGTAAGATACTAGAGCGTGCGTAACTATACACTTCGCATCCATAATCGATACGCGAGAGAATTACTGATTGATAGCCCCTCAGGGGCCCATCTTCTTCAGGTGTGACGATATTCACGACCCCGAGGTACCCTAGTGTCTATTTCTCCTTTCGTTTATTTCTCCCCTTGAGTTTTTGCTATTTCCTTCTTTCCCTCGAGGGTAGTGCTTCAAATATAATTTTAGAATTTTACATTGACGTGAATATGACATTTGTCTGGCGCAGTATAGTCAACAAATGACTCTTGCGCCAATAAACCAAACCAAACCCTCGAGGGTAGGCGAGGGAGCTCTCCATGAGAAGCTGTTGCCGCTCTGTTTGCTTTCTGTTTCTCATGGACAGTAAACTACCCCCACGTGTTTGCCGTGCGTGGCGACCCTTTAGACGGGTGGTGCACTGTTGGTCCCCGGTGTATCAATTCGGCTGGTATCCTAACCTTCTGGTTAGTCTGCTAGGGATCAAGCGAAAGGGTCATTCTCTGGGGCTTGGCGTTAAGGGTGGTCAACGTTCCTGGAGATGACCCTGAGCGTATAGGTCCCGGCTAGCACCAAGGCAAGTGCCGAGGCTGAGATTGGTCAGAGCCGGTAACTACCTTCCCTTGTTGGGCTCCGTGGTGGGCGGTGCCGTCGGGACCCGAATCACCTTTCAAGCTTTGCATGTGTCCTCTCAAGAAACCTCCCTTCAGTGGACAATTTTCAGTCAATAATTTCGATACATTTTTTATCATTAAGCGCATCGGTGGAAACGATGATAATTTCTCAAATGTTTCTCCTTTTCTTGTTGAGAAAGCAATTACTGGCAGTGTTGGTACTGTCACATCAACAAAACTTATGCGGTCAGGTGACTTGCTTGTCGAGGTTGCTTCTCGCAAGCAAGCCCAACAAATTTTGAAGTTAAATTCCCTTTCAACCATAGCAATTTCTGTACAGCCACATGTAACCCTCAACACTTCAAAAGGTGTCATTACATGTGGTAGGCTTTTAAACCTCTCGAATGAGGAAATAACAAAAGAATTAAGCGGTCAGGGAGTAAAAGATGTTCGGCGCATTAACATCCGTCGCGATGGTGAGCTTATGCCGACAAAGCATTTTATTTTGACCTTCAACACGCCTCGATTGCCGGAATACATAAAGGCTGGATACGTTCGATGTTCCGTAAGACCTTATATTCCCAATCCATTAAGGTGTTTCAAGTGCCAGCGTTTTGGTCACTCCAAAACCAACTGCCGCGGGACACTTACTTGCGCCCGTTGTGCAGCGGCTGGCCATGAGAGCACAGATTGCACTGCTGTGACGGCAAGCACACTTCTTTCTCTCGTTCCTGTCCTAAATGGAAAGTAGAGAAAGAAGTTGTTGCTACAAAGTATAAACAGAATATATCATTCCCTGAAGCTCGACGACTAGTTAAAGCACAAACACCACCCGATGGTAAGAGCTACGCTTCGGTCGTCGACAAAAGCCATCCCGTCTATCAGACCACTAACTGTCCTCATTGCAACCACGTAGTAACAATGCCCAATCCAGTCCCTTCCACTTCCAAATCTCCTGAATCTCTTACAATAGCATCTTCATCTGGCACGAAAAATAACAATATCTTACCTAAACCTAGCTCTCAAACCTCTGCAGTTCCACCAGATTCACAGGCCTCATCCGGATATACAGTAGTAAATAGGAAGAAAAAATCTAAAATATCTCCTAAAGGTCAATCGGCAAGTAATAACCAAATCAAACACTCACTCACTTTATTTATGGAACAACCAAGGACTCACCATTCCTTAACCTCCATCCCAGCCGGGGTTGAGATCTGGCTTCCAAAGTCTATAGGAACTACCTTGCTCCGGCACGGGGAGCCCCAATGTGGGATGTCAGCCCACGGACATAAGGTGGGTACCCTTTGTTGGATTTCTCGAAGGAGTTTATATTCCGTCTACACGGTGCCATACCTCGACTCTTCTATGAGCTGAGGCAACAACCAGTTACCATCGTGGCGCCACTCTGAAGGTTCGGCCTAGTGTATCAACGAGCCTGTTCTGCTGAAGGGCTGGAGTCACATCCAGTAGGTCCCAACAGTGTCGCTGATCAAAAGTGTCATTGAAGACCACACACCGCCTCCTCTCCCTCGGTTTTGACAGTTTACTGCCACCAGCAGATGTGCATGTTTTCCATCAGACTGGAATTTTACCAACGTTTTTTGATTTCGGTGTGGTACTTAGACGGGTATGGACGTCCATGGTACTACTACACACCATGACACAGAAATGAATGCCACAACATTACACGTACCTCTATATGTCGACCACTGATATACAACAAAGTCATTCAAATAAACAACGTGAATTAAGTCCCAGATACTATTTTAGCCTCGGCAAATTTCTTTTCTACCTCGAAAGAGGAGTGTCCTGCCTAACATCGAGCACCTGAGCAGACGACCTAGATGGTAATTGAGCAGATAGTTATTTTTTCATGCATATTCTGGGTTCGGAATGCCATGGTTCCAATGGGATCAACGTTCCATTGGTGGTCATTCCGCTCGATTGTATAGTTCCTGGCGCAGCAGTATAGCAACATCAAGGGCTCCTTGCGCCATAAAAAATCTAAACCAAACCGCTCGGATTGAAGATACAGAATTTTCGAACACCTCCTTCATTATACGCGAACTGTTTTAGATGCGGAATGAGTGAGATGCCCACACAAACTACTCATCACTATAGCTAGCCACGCCAAGTCCTATCTCTACATGCACAGCGAAGTCTGACCCCTCCCAAGACTCATGGGCTCAAGAAGAAAGACTGCACGTCATCACTTCCGTAGAAGATTCAAGGTAGTTGGGGAATCTCGTTAACGCGCCGCCAATTAGTGACAAGGCATTTGGTTATTAAATCTCATTTTCACAAAATCAAGAGTTGCATTGCTACTTTTTGAAATTAGGAAAACTGGAACCCATTAATAAAAAAAACAGAACTGACGATAAATATAAATGTAACATTCACAAGATAAACAAAGAAATTCCACCTGTTTCATTACATAAACAGGAGCTACTTGTTGACAAAAGGACGACGCAGGACATTTCATGCAAGTTGGTCTTGGTGGCCCGTACGATTGATCTTGTTGGAAATACAGTGAACTGCGCGAAACGTACCAAGAAGTACTCGGGTGCAAACAATAGAGGTCTGGAATAGTTGAGTACTTGAATCTTTTAACCATCTTCGATAGCTACTGACCAAATACCCAGGACATTGGCAAGGCTGCACCGATGGTATTGGATTTCTTGCAGCTTGATGTTTTTTCTGGTGGACTATCCAATTCACGATTATCGCGGGGTAACTGATTTTCATACGAATCGCCAATCATTCATAACCATAACCAGAATCTTGAATATATTTTAACCAAATCTGGCTTACGATTTCTGGTATATAATGGTTCAGAAATGACTTCTGCAGCCTCGATTCTCCAATTCTCTTTTCAGGTAATTATTACCGCATTATGTCTAATAAATATTCTTTTCCTTGGGCATGCTTGAGAAGTCTCCTTCAGGGGAACCAGCTCTGCAATATTGCCTTGGGAAATAAACGCTCTCTGTATAGCCATAACGGCACTCTTTCCATTTCAATTATCTTGTCTTTGGTTTTAAATCGGAATTTCGTCTTGGTATTTGCACGGTGTGCTGAGACCTGCTCAGTGAACACCGAGACCACCCAGTCCGGAACCACATCGAACAATACTTGCACTCAAATCCCGCTGTTGCCATGTCGATTGCAACTGTCAACCAAGCTGAAGAGAGGCAGTTAGGGTCATAGTAGAAAAAAAAGCAATACAGACTGAGAACGAGAGAAAAGAAGCCGAGTTCTTGCGGGGACTAATGCAGGCCAGGGGCGGGATAGTATTTAGTCTACTGACTGAAGATCAGCTGTGCAGGTGCGCCACGGAGAGGCACGTGTTACCCGGATAGAGGCTGGCATTACGCTATTCGCACCGCTATGACAGGCTTAGCACCGCTTTCACCAAAAAAATGTCATCGGAACCCAAAAGAAGGTTAGAGAGTCATAGTTACTCCCGCTGTTTACCCGCCCTTGATGAATTCTTCACTTTGATATTCACAAAGCACGATGAAATCGCATGGTGCCATCACCGCCATCGCAATGCTTTGTTTTAATTGAGACAGTCGATTACCTAGTACGCCAGTTCTGAGTCGGCCGTTAGCTTCGCCGAAACTGCCGGTCCGCACGAAAGCACGCAGCCTGCGCGCAGCTGAGACATTCCATGGACGTATGGTAATCCCAGATATCAACCATTAAATGAATTTTAAATCTCAAATACTCGTGAAGATTAATATTACTATCAAATTTAAAGTTTATCTCCACTTAAAATTGTTTTTATTTTATTTAATAAATTTTATTAGAATTTTAGCTTTCCAACAAAAAGTTATCTTTTGTTTTTTTCCATAAATTTACATTTTTCCTGTGAAAAGTGAGAGACACCATTCTGGAGAATACTGAATCAGTCGAATACAACTGAAATACGTAACTTTTTAATAAGAAGAAAATGCAACTTAGAAAGTTTCTTCTATTTTTAGACCATCGATATTCATAATAAAATTATTTTAATAGAAGATATTGAAATTTTGATGATTAAAAAACTTGAATTTGCGTCTCCAAATCAAGTTTCAGTATAATGTATAGATAGTTTCTCCGAAATCGTATTAACCTTCAGCCATGATCCGTTAAGAAATGAAATCTTTAACATGATACATTCATATATGTTAAAATAGATAATACTAATGACTGGAAAACAGATGCGACCGTATACGCTTATTCATAAAAAAATTTAAAACCTGCTATCCATAATGCATTATGAATAACAAATATGAACAAGTTAAAAGTAGGTATTAAAATAATTTCAGTGTTTTACTCTTTTCTTGAACTTTTTGCCATCTTTCTCGGAGAACTTTGATTTTACGATACAGGGATTTGTAGGACTTACAAAGCTGATTGTACTGCTACAATATAAGACGCACCCAAATTTTTTTTGTTTTGAATTTTGGATGTCGCGTTTTTACTCTGGGCACTCATGAGGTATTATATCGTTTAAAGGAGAAAAAGATTCGCACAGTTCATACTGGCGAGCCGTCATTCTTCATTATGAAGCTCTTTTGGATTTTTGCTGTGTTGTTGTCTGCTGCCTGGCTCCTTTTTATTTTCTTTAATGGCAGACCGAGATGGTTTGTCTCAACGCTATTCTTAGGCTTTATACCTTAAACTGGCGCATCCTTTGAACCTTTCTCCCTGTGGGTCATTAGGAATATGTACCTTTTATTTCACTTATCTCCAGACCTACATTTCTACATCTGTTCATCTAAAAAAATGAAAAAGTTTTCAGTTTTCGTGGAATATCTAACATATCGTCATTTCAAACAAGGCTCACTAAATGCAATGTGAAAATATTTTGAGTTACTGCAATCGATTAGATTTCACCACTAGTTAGTGCTATAATCCTGCTATAGAACACAGTAACCAATAATAGAGGTAAAACGATTCATCAATTATGTTTAAACGACAATATTTTCAAAATAGTGTTTGAATTCTGCTTTTGAATGACAACGATATGCTACTGCATAAGTTACCGGAGACCATATGGAACTCCCACTGAACCACACTTATTGAATTGTCCATTGCAGCAGAGGATCTCAACATGTAGTACGTGTACCCCAAGGCCTGAAGGACTAGTTGGGGTACTCTCGAACAAAAGTTGGTAATGGTGGGAACAAATAAACATAATAAGAAACCATAAATACAGAATTCTTTTTCCGTTAATTCTGCTATTTAATAACTATACCACTTCATAAGCTGATTATTACAGAGTTAAATTCTTAGCCATCCTTATAAGTTAAGGAAAATTATTAAAAAAAAAAGTTATTTCATTTTATTCGAGTTAAACTACTATTGTAAAAAATGCAATAAAATGTAGAATAAAAATATAAAATCCAACAAATTTTATTAATCTTGAGTCATTTGATTTTTAAGTTAACATAAGACTTCATTGATGAAACTTTTTGCGTAGACGGATTGTTCAGATAGGGATGCGAAAGTAAAGTACGAAAATAAAAAAGTTTAACTCATGAGGGAAAAGTTTGCAACTTGTTTTCCGTACGCAACAGGAACACATTTGGCAAGAGAACAGCAATGACTCTAAGTCAAGAGTCGCATGGAAAATCTGTATTTCTAAATAATCTTGAGAAATGGCTCAGTCAGAAATCTTAAGATATTCAATTGAAGAAAGAATGACAGAATATTACAAATCCCAGGATGAAAGGTCTCATCATGCAAAGGGGAATTCTGTCCTTCTCATCTCTACTCTGGCTCAAGTAATCTGACATTAGAGTTGCATGGACAAGCGTGAGACCAATGTATTGAAAAACACCCGTCAGCTCTGCAAGGGGTCCGAATTTTAACGTCTTAAAATGCAGTTTTGTGCATCTGATTTGAATAATTTTTCAGCTGTGAATGTCTAAAAAACTTGCACTGTTTATGCTGATCAATACATGTTATCAATAAAATTTAACCGTAGTTATAAACAGCCGACATTTAGTTCAGGAAGAGAAAGTAAAATTTGCAAATCACCATAAATTAAAAAGATATGCTCTGAAATACTATTTTCGAAATATCTTTAGTTAATATTGTCATTGCCCGCTAAAAGTAGTCTTTAAAATTTTTCGTTTACTTGATACTGTTGAATATTTCCTCGGAAATGTCCAAATTACCTATTTTCCGTTTGTTTACTATCATGCTCTTCTTTAATCACCCGGAAAATAGTTCATCATGTTGTCGGTAAGATTTTGAAAATCTTTTGACTGTTACAACTGGTTTCCAGACTATCTGAGTGGAAGATCGGCTCCTTCACAGATGACCCAGTTCTTGTGGATTCACAAAGGTGGAGTACACTGGGTTCCCGCTTTGTTTCTTCATCCAAGGAGATCTTTCTTCACATCATACTGATTTTATTAGGAAAAAATATGATGAACACTTGATGACTTACCTTTAGGGTTCCATGATAACGAGGTGTTCTAACTATTAAGGTACGTATGATAATCATCCTCTGGAAGATTCAAATATGGGATGGTTACATAATCTTATTTGTTAAGAAGAATGCAATTAGGTATCATGCAAATATTGACGAGAAAAAATGTGTCGAATTTATCTTTATTAGCTATATTAAATTTAATTATAGATTTTAGATGAGAGTTTTGAAAATCAGGATGCAAATAAAAGATCTTATAAAGGTATATTCAAGCAATCTACAAGTTTCAAAATATTTTAGCAATAACCCTGTGAAGTAACATTACACAGACATAATTTTAAAAGGTAGCAAAATACAGACCTGGATAATCTGCTAGGATACAGAGCAGAATAAAACACAAACATGAACAAATGACAGAAACTGTGATAAAATTAATTTCAGTTTATTTAAGAATTTTAGAAAATATGAAGGCATTGATACATAACATGAACTGAGTACGGCAATGTGGAAGCTTTGGATTCAAAACACTACATGTCAGTTGGATAAAAAGTCAAAGACAGGTTAATTAGAGTTCATATCAGTACTAGTGTCTTCTATCCGACAAAAATAATAAAAGTCCTGAACCTCTCAGGGGCACATCTTCTGATGTGATGATTCTCGACGCACCCTAGAGTCTATTTCTCCTTCCGTTTATTTCGCCTGAGTTTTTTTGCTATTTTCTTTCCCTGAGGGTAGCGAGGGGCTCCATGAGAAGCAGTTGCTGCTCTGTTTTATTTCTTGCTTCATGGACAGCAAATTACCTCCCCACGTGTTGGCTGTGCGTGGCGACCCATTAGACGCCATTTCTGTCCCAGGTGTATCAATCGGTCGGTATCCCAGCTAATGGCTGGTCTGCTCAAGGGACTGCTGAAGGGGTCACCTGGGCTGGTGGTCACAGTCCCTGGGGTGGCCTTGAGCGTATAGGAATCTGAATAGCACCAAGGTAAGCGCCGAGGCTGGGAATGTCGGTGGGCTGCCTTCCTTGTTGGGCCTGTGGTGGACGGTGCCGTCGGGCCTGGAACCATATGCCATATCATATGGGTAAAAGAAAATCTGGTCCCAGTGGGCAACAAATGCATCAAAAACACAGTAAATAAACTTCCAACCTTTTTTTTTGATAAAAGAACCACATCCAACGAAACCTTTCATACTGTATCACCATTCCTTAGTTGAAAAGCCATTACCGCAACTACTGTGATGTCAAATCCACTAAAAAAAAGCTTCGATCTGGCGACTTACTGTCGAAGAATCTCGAAACACCTGGAAATCTGGGGCTAGTTAATCTAAAATATTTTCCAACATTCCAGCAACTGTCTCTCCACATGCACTTTTGAATTCCTCCAGTTGTCACCCGTGAGAATTGCTTAATGTTACAACAGAAGAAATCCTTAAAGAATTGCAAGGGTTGAGCCATGTACGGCGTATATCAATACGGGAGGGATGGCTGGCTCCTAAATACAAAGCACCTACATCACATTTGACTCCGCAAATTACCAGAACATATTAAAGGATATATGCGCCTCTCTCAGTTAGGGCATATACCCAATCCACTCCGCTGTTTCAACTGCCAACGTTTCGACATTGAAACCCTTGCCGCGGGACATCACCTTCCACAAAGGTGGTCGGGCATGAAAGTACTGATTGCATCTGTGCAGAGAAGTGTGTTAACTGGGGAACACACTTTCACCCCTTCTCGAAATTGTTCTGCTTGGAAACAAGACCCCTCAGGGGCATCATTACTTCTTATTGGTAAGTGCGGCGATTCACGACCCCGAGGTCCCTAGTGTCATCTGTCCTTTCGAGTTTTTTGCCTCCGCTTTGAGTTTCTACGCTTTTTCGCTTACCTTCCCGAGGGATGAGGCAGGCTCTCCTAGAAGCTGTTTGCCGACTCGTTCTTCTAGCTTCCTCGTGGACAGCAAATTACCCCACGTGTTGGCCGTGCGTGGCGACCCATTAGACGAGGTACATTTCGGTCCCGGTGTATCAATCGGTCGGTACTCCAGCCATTGTATTCTGCTCATAGGGGATCAAGCAAGGGTCACCCTGGGCTTGGCGTTATAGGTCACTGTCCCCGGGGTGACCCTGAGCGTATAGGTTCCATTAGACCAAGCGCGCCGAGGCTGGATCCGAGCCGGTGGCTTCCCCTGTTGGGCTCCCGTGGTG